TCTCTCTCTCTCTCTCTCTTGGAACTAGAGCTCAAGTATTCAAGATTGCGGGAAGGGATCTGGGTAAACGTTTAAGTGAGAAACCAGACAAAATTCCGCTTGGAATCTTTGACCAAACTGTAGAAGATTGGGGAAAATCAGTGAGTGGAAAAGGCACACCCAGGCAACCGTCACGTTGGAATTCTATATAGAAACCCCAAAGACTTGCCTAGAAGAATTTGAAGCACACACACACACACACACACACTACAGCTACGACTATGGCAACCAGTGTTGTTGACTACATTGCCCTATGCTCAGTCTCACTTCCTCCATCATCACTCCGACGATGACTACATTGCCCTACGCTCGCCTCACTTCCTCCATCATCACGCCAACGTTGACTACATTGTCCTGCGCTCAGTCTCACTTCCTCCATCATCACTCCAACGTTGACTACATTGCCCTACGCTCAGTCTCACTTCCTCCATCATTACTCCAACGCACAATTGCAGCAGCGCTGCCACATTGAGTGTGAAGCATAAGGTGTTGACATCCTGAGCTGCTCGACTCTTGTACTTGCTAATCCGTCCTCCAGGTTTCTTCTGCTGATTAAGGGTTCGTTCCCTTGCCTTTGTTTGTTGCTTCCGGAAGTTTGCAGGTTTTCCTTGTATCTGGCTGCTTGACTGGAGTGCCTGACACTTGGCCTAACAACTTCTGCTATCTTTGCTGAAACTTGTTGCGCCTGGGTGAAAATAGACTTTCCAACCCATAATTGTCGTCTACCAGGGACTTCCTACCACGACCTACTTAAAAGAACCGTTGCACAAACGAAAGCTCCTCATGTAAGGCATTCATGAATATTGTACATGTGGGCTGTAAATGGAATATAGACCGGGGCTCAGGACTGGAACTCGAGACTGGGACTCGGAACTGGGACTTGGGACTGAACTGGGGTACTGTGATTCGTGAATCCTTTCAGCTGTGCAGAACCACAAGCTTTGCAGTGGCTGAGAGTAATGGCAATTTTAGAAAACAAACTTCGGAAATTCGACAAAAAGAGACTTTTGTGCACCTCTTTCAGACCACCTCCAGACCTCGCCACAGTAGGAGGTCCGGAAACCTTGACAGGAATCAAGTGGGCACAATAACCTCCATTAAAAGTAGCTCAGCTAAGGGGTGAAAAACATACTTGCGGCGCACGTGATGCACGAGTTGCGCACCTGCGGTGCATAGCGCAGGCGCACGTGATGTCGCGCACCCCAATAGATAGGATCGATTAAAGAATCCGGAAAGGGCAGGTTGTGGTAGCCAAACATGCCCCCCCTTCTGAAAATTATAAGTGCACAGAAAAAGAAAATTGGGGCCACATCGTACTCCTCATTGGATCCAGTCTCTTTTCCGAAGGGGCCCCAGCAAAGATGAGGGTCCCATTTCTTCGCAGAGATGTTCATCGAATAGCAGATACGACACAGTCAGGGCAGCAATATATATTCTGAATTCCTGTTTTCCGGCAGTTACGGGTTACCACTAATACCACGGTAGCTCTCTCTTTTTTTTGTTTTCCCTTTTCTCAAGTGCAGTGGCCCTAAGGGCCTCACTCCACAGTCACCACTTGCACAACAGACAAAACATATGGTGGCGTATGGTTCCATGTTCTAGCAGAAGATTCATTCTAGTTTTGTACATTTGGTGAATAGTGGAGTGAAGCCCCAAAAATCACGTGCCGAGTTAGTTAGTAACTCGTAACTGCTGAAACACAGACCTGAATTCGAAGCTACACCATATATAGTTGGCCTGCTACTGCCCTACTACAAGTCCAACAACTACCTCGTTCTTGGCGAGGAGACCCTTGCTAAGTATCTGCAGGGGCCTTTCGGATTACCGGCAGGGGTTTTCTGATCTATGTGAAAGAGCTCTTTGCTCTCTCTCTCTCTCTCTCTCTCTCTCTCTCTCTCTCTCTCTCTCTCTCTCTCTCTCTCTCACGCGTGCATACACACATCGCGGCCACTTTTTTTTTTTTTTGCACGCATCAACGATCAGCGCACCGCACATATGCGCCACAAGTGTGGTGAAAAACAAACAAACAGAACAACAATACCAAATGCTAGGGATTGCAGGGGATCCCTTGGACATCTGTCAAAACTGGAACGATACAGAGAAGATTAGCATGGTCCCTGCGCAATGACGACACACGTTAAAAAAATAAAATCAAAATCAAATGCGGGGGACAAGGTACATGTCTGACCTGCAGTGCAGAAGCTGGTGGGAGAGAAAGGAGCAATTCGCCTTGAGGTGGTGCAGATGGCTTCGCTTTCTTCGCAGATTCACTGTCCACTCTGTTTACCTCAGGACATGGAGCAAGAAGAAGATAGAACAATTCAGGAGCTGCATGACAATTTATACCCAGAAGCCCAACATGAGCAATTAGACCAAAAAAAAGCAGATGAGAATTCTACAGATGGGACCGGTGCCATTGCTGATGGGGAGGACAGGAGAGGAGAACACTGTCACCTTCTGCTTTGAGCCTCACTGCTCGACACCATGAGCACACACACACACATTGAGAGATCACACGAAATCCACACTGGAGACCAGAGATGCAACATCCAGATACGCGCAGCTTAGGAATTCCGATACAACATCCAGATATGCGCAGCTTAGAAATTCCAACAAATTATCACGTTGAACAGTTTCGGGGATCCAGTCACCAAGCGCTCAACCACGCAGAGTTCAGCAACCCAATACCAGCACCCCCCTCCAAGGCAGGTGACTCACTTCTCTCCCTGGCTCACTCTCTCCCTCTCCCTCTACTTGACAATCTTAACTCTGTATGCAACCGCTGCTACTCAGCTCTACCTCCTATCACTAGCTATGCGGCTATGGCCGCCTTCCCTCTCAGTGCAGTGCTGCCCAGCAGGGCTCTCGCGGGCATGCTACTCGCAGATAGCGCACAAGCGCTTCAGCAGCACTTCCACATTTCTCACGAATGAGCCATCTCCCTGAAATGGGGCTGGCCAGTCCTTAGATTGACTTGGACTGAGTTTCAGCTCGTCCCAGCCTTTATTTCTTCCGGTTCGACTTGGTACTGGTACCACATGTCCACGGCCTGTTTGCTTCAGCATGTCAAGGCCTGGTACTTACCCGAATTTTCATTGGTGTGCTGCTGCTTGGGCCTGTGAGTCACGGCTTTTCACCTGTGGAACATGACTTTTGACTGCGGGATATAACTTTTGCCTGGGGAAGTGTCCTTTGCCTGTGGGATATAACTTTTCAATATGACTTTTCAATACGACTTTTGCGAGGATCTGGGTCCTCGGCAGGCCTAAGGGGCCCCTGCTGCACATGTGCCCGCCCTAAGTGAAGGCGGTCCTAACAAATCACGAGAGGCCCTTGACTGTCAACTTCGTATTTGGGGTCCAGGCAGTTGTGACGCGCCAGTTGGTTGAGGGAAACACAGGCCGAGCCTCAAAGACATTCCACGGCCTTCCAGGCCTTTCTGAAAATGCAGGCCCTGGACAAGAATCGCAGCCTCATTCACATACAGTTGGGAGGCCCAACCGAATGAGGCCCAGCAGCTGCATCGGAGGCACAGCCTCCCGGGGCCTACCAGAAGCTTCTGGGCAGAGGCCCAGGCCAGCCAGGCCGCCGTGAGAGGCAGGCTCTTTCCATATAGGAAAGAGCTCGCTGCCTGGGCAGTCATTCAGCACTTGCACGCTGGCGGCAGCGCTGCTGGAGCAGACGCTCGTGGGCTGCTGCTGGCGCTGAGAGGCAAGGGGCTAGCACGTGCGGTCGTGTGTGAGTCAGGGCGCTGCTGAGGGCAGCGCCATAGCCCAGCCTTCATAGCTGGCTGGGGCTTGGTCTACAGTGAGGCGCAGGGGGTGGTCTTCGGGTGTACAGAGGGAAGACGTGGGTGTAAGCTGTCTCTTATACACATCTAGATGTGTATAAGAGACAGGGTCTACAGTGAGGCGCAGGGGGTGGTCTTCGGGTGTACAGAGGGAAGACGTGGGTGTAAGTCAGGGGAGAGAGGGAAGGATGATGATGATGATGATGATGTGAGGGCACATACCTGGTATTGGCGATGGTCTGCATGGGCGACATCTTCAAGTACTTCGTAGGCTGCTGACGTCAACAGTTGCATCGTCAATTAGTAGGCAGACAGTAGCTGTGTAGGAAGTAGGCTGGGCGCCGAGCGCCAAGTAGGGAGAAAGGGCCTGGACACTCATGTTGGTGGTGGCGAGAGCAAGCTCTCATTGACATTGGTTTTCAGTGTTACGATTCTTCATTGGTATTGGTGCAATTCTGCTTTCTGGACACTCATACTATCTGGCCTTCAATGTGATTGTGCATTCTGGATATTGTCATCTCGCTATTGCTCATTTTCTTTCAATTTGGTATCAGAGCAGGTTCGAACTGCGTTTCATTGATTCTTCGCAATAGCTGTTTGGTACTTCGCATGAGGTGTGGGGCAGTAATGAGGCTTGGGTGTTGAATGATAGGCGGCCCAGGGTCGTGTGGGCGCGCCAGGAAACTATGTGGTGACATTAGGGGTGTACGCTGGATGATGAGAGCTCGCTGATGTGGCATTGAAGCCGAGGTGGAATTGCACTCTGCTGTTGGTTGTGCCGAGGCAAAGACTGGTCATCATAAATGCACATCAGGTTGCCGGTGAAAAATCTGTTGTTGGGGGCAGCATTATGAGGTACATTGCTCTCTTCCTTATCTACCCTCTTCATTACTTCTTGCCATAAGTAAGTGAGTTCTGTCTTGAGAGTCCTCTCAATGTGAGGTGTCGTGAGCGCTCAACCTTGAGAGTCGACAATCTTCCTGGGCAGCAAGCTGGCGGGAGACGGGCGAAGCCTCTGAAGGGCCCTGGATGAAGCACTCGGGTCACGATCACCATGCCAACCCGCTGGGACTAGTACACACATGCTTTGCCGCAAGTCCTTGGTTCTGCTGCTGCGCAATAGAGGTCACGCAGGACATGCCAGCCCTTTGAACAGACGCTTACCAGACCGTCTTTAAATATTTCTGCCGGGTTGCGGTGTTGAACCCTGGCTGTGATCGTCATCCTGTCTGTGACATTAAATAATTCCTGAGGACCTTGGGGGCTGTCCTTAAACTGCCTCTTGATCAGCCAGATCAAACCGGATGTAAGGCTCGTTGCATGCGAGGGTAAACAACGTGCGGGGGCTGTCATGTTCGGCATAGACTTGGGGCACAGGGGTGGACCGGATTGCACACCTTTAGACACGCCGCTCAACCAGATGCGCAGGGCGTTGATACAAAGTGACCGATCAAGAAGGATACAGGGAGAGGGGGGATTCCGGTAACTGTTCGCAGAGTTATTAATTGGTAAAATATTCCATCCAGCACGCCTCTCTGCAGGTGACACTATTTTTATTTGATTATTTAGTTGTTACGGACTTTACTGACAACTAACAGACAGCTGCAGATAGTTAGTATTCTTTGCTGCATGCAATCTGTTCAGAGTAATCTAAGAATAGAATTAGTGTACCCTGTAGGACCTGATATTGATTGCTGATTACCACTTGACTACTTCTCTCTAGGCTGACAAGGAATTAATTGATTGGTTCATACTCAGTTGTGTGCCATGCTGAGGTAGGATTTAGTGTGGATTCTAGTTTAGATCTCATACACTATAGCTAATGAGTGATGCAGGCGGTAGTGAGGAGGAGGAACGAGTAGTGGAATCTCTTAGAGTGACTTGTAGAACTGCACTGTACCTTCTTGGAGTTAGACGAGGGAGAGGAAAGGAGGCTGCGAAGGGAAGCCAGGGAAAGGACGACATTAGAGAGGGCTAGGACAGCGGCAACCAACGCTGAACGGACACTTGCAGCAGCAAGACTAGCAGACGCTAGAGTCCAGGTTGAGGTTGCGATGGCTACCTCCTCTACAGTGTCACTGGCCTTGTCCCAGGCCTCTTTGTCGGGTGTCAGTCAGGGTGTCTCTCAGAGTTATGTTAATCAATCTGTTGGCTTGCAAGTCAGCCAGCAGATTCCACTCACACCTGAGGATTATGAAATCCTCCAAGCGGAAGAACTGCATGATCAACTACAGCAGCAGCTGAGAGAGGCAGCAGAGAGGCGGCAGAGGGCAATCACGAGAAAAGCTAGACTAGGAGCTAGGGGGCAGGAGTTAAGGAACTTAGAGGCACTAGACGAGTCGACACTTGACCCTGCAATGCAAGCGCTGCGTCGCTCACTCGTGTGTGGGGGCAGGTTGTCCAGCAGGAAGTGCTGTCCGAACTAGTGGAAGGCCAGAAACAAATTCCGGCTGCACTGCAGGCTCCTCGTCCTATGATGAGGCAGACGCATTATGTTGTAGCTCCCCCTTCGGTTGCAGGTCCCTCAGTGACGCCGTCGCCGGGAGGGCCCTCTTTCTCTCCTACGTTTGGCACGCCTCTCACAAGTAGTCAACCAGTAGTCAGTGGTCCGGTTCTTATCTCTTCTCCCATACCATCGAGGACGGTGGCAGCTACAATGCAATTGTCTGGACAGCCGCAAGTTAGCATGCAGCAACCTGTCTCAGTGGCTATGCAGCCACTGCAGCAATCACCTGGGCAAATCCAGCCTATGCAGTGGATGCCCAAGATACCCTTGCTGAGTCCTAAGCCCTTCTCTGGCCACAGGAAGAAGGACGAGGACCTGGGTACCTAGGTGAGAATTGTGCCTACCTATGTGAGGCACAAGCTCACAAGACCAGAGCAGGAAGTTATAGTTGCTGCCTCCTTTTTAGAGGGATCAGCAACACGTTGGTTAAATGGGCTAGTGCAGCAGCAGGGCTTCGATGCCTGGGCTCAGGCTCAGACATTGGAAGACTTCGTACGGACTGTGTATAAGAGGTGCCATGACCCCCAAGGGGCTCAGAAGGCCACCGTCGCAATCAACAATCTCTGTGCCAAAAGGTACAAGAATGTACACGAGGTCACAAACGCCGTAGAATGTCTGATCATAGTACCTCGTGTGCGTTTTGATCCGCCGGTACTCCTCACAGACTATTTGAGATGTCTGCCCACAGACGTCAAGAATAAGATGGTGGACGAGGCCTATATTGACCAACATAGCTTCGCTACTTTCAGCAAGAAAGCCTTAGATATAGAGGCTAAGCTTGGGTTCGCGCATCGGAGTCAGGGAGATGGTAGGAAGAAGAGACTCCCCCAAGACTGGAAGAAGAAAGGTCAACTCCTGTTCGTCGACCATGATGGTCAGGCGGCTGAGATTGACGACTTCCCAGACTATGGGGAGGAGATAGAGCAGGATGGGGCCAATGAGACTTCGGATGGAGGAGTCGTGGCTCCCATCAAAGAGAAAGC